TCATGGCAGAAGTAGCTGAGGGGAGAGAGAGAGAGAGAGAGAGAGAGAGAGAGAGAGAGAGAGAGAGTGAGTCTGTTCCCTGCAGCAAGGGCACAGTCCCAGTGACCTGCAGACCTTCCGCTAGGCCCCATCTGCAGTACCCAAGCACCATACCACTGACTGCCACAGCCCCCTGAGTAGCTGGGTCTATAAGTGTGCTCAGTCATACCCAGCTTTAGGTTCCACCTCTTAAGGTTTCCACCTGCTCCTAGTAGCACCACACTGGAGACCAGCTCCTTGACACATGGTCTTTGGGGGACATTTATGATCCAAACCATATCAGAGGCCTCTCGCCTATGTTCACGCCCGGGACACTCCAGTGGGTGGGGGCAGGAGCCCCTATTTCAGCCCCTTCAAACCAGGAGTTTTTCATATGGAGGCTGATGCAGAGGTCAGATTTAGTGCCCACCGTGACATCCCCTAGCAAGTAGTCCAGCTTTGCGGCGTGCCGGGTCCCTCGTGCCTCCAATGCTCCCATTGGTGGGATGCTGTGGTCTCCACTGTGGTGCCTGCTAGCTCATGCGCCACGGGAAGCTCTGATGAGCATGGTGAAGGTACACTTGCCCGCAGGTGTACCCCGACTGTGTGGCCCCCATTTAGTCCTGGAGCTGGAACTCCCAGGGCCCTGGGGGGAGGGTTTTCATGCCCTTCTCCCATCCAGGGAACTCATTGATTGGGGCCAGCTGTGCCACGCAGGCAAAGAAGCAAAAGGTCCTGAACATGGGGCCAGGAGCAGCTGGGGGTAACAGCATTCACAGGGAATCGGAGCCCAGGGCAAGCAGCAGATTTGGCCGTGTCCCTGGGCAAGTCTCTGCTGGCCTCTGTGGCTCTTGCATTGAAGCTGATGAGGTGGCCATGGGGATGTCTTCTGCATCCACGCTTAGAACAGCACCACTGCTTCTGGGCTGTGTATGTACATGTGTATGCCCATATGTGTACACTTGGTCTTCTCTGCTGGATGGTCTTGGATTGCTATTTAATTGTCTCCTCCATCTCTCCCCAGCAGCAGGGACTACCAGCCCCTTCTATTGTTTCTCACACACATGGCCTTCTTGACCTAGGGCTAGACATGGTAGCTGGCAACTGGCAACCCCATGCATGCTCGTTTATGATTTGAGTAACTAAGATTGACCAGCAGTGTCCTTCATGACTGGGCCTGGGAAAAGGAGTGGCAACTGGAGATGGCCCCCAGGACAGAGTTCTGCCATATCTGTTTAGCTAGGGGCTGGTGCTGGTCACAGAGTCAGATTGCCCTGAGACTAAGTAGGACCCAGCAGGATGGCTGGTAGCCGGCCCACACATCTTCAGGTATACAAGCCTCATGGCTTCTCCTCTCTCCCCACAGGACAGCTCTCCTGCAGGCGCGCCCTCGGCTGCTCCTGCCCGTGCAAAGCCTTGTGTGCCTGGCAGCCTTCGGCTTGGCCCTGCCGTTGGCTATCAGTCTCTTCCCGCAGATGTCAGAGGTCAGTGTGCATCAAGGGCAGGGGAAGGAGGGGCACAGTGGGGTCATTTTCAAAGACTTACCCATTGCTGACTCCTTAGTACTGTGCTAGGTGCTAGGATTAGAACTATGAGACTGGCCAGGCTGTGGACTTAGAGCTGAAGGTCTAGCAATAAACACAAGGATGAAATAAGGACTAGCAAATTAAGTTAGAGGAGGGTTAGAACAGGAGGCACTCAGCTGGACATGAGAGGGGACAGCCCGAGGAAGTGGAGTTCCCTGGGGCCTGGAGCTAGCCAGGTGAGAAGGGGTGGGGCTCACATGAGCTAGGGGTCAGGTGATGTGAAGATGCTGAGGGGAACGGCACATGGCACGTCCCAAGAGCAGCGTGAGGTGCGAAGGGCCAGGGAAGGGGAGCTGGGGCCAGGTGGTGTGGGGATTGTGGCAGCCAAAGCAGAGAAGGTAAATGTGATGCTGAGGACTGTCCAAGGCAGGACCACAGATTCCTGATTTTGAATAGTCCTTAGAGCTGTGTTGTGAGGCTGGGTTGGAGCTCCAGAGGAGAAGGAACCATCAGGAGGCTGTGGCGGGCATCCAGTGGGAGATGATAGCGGCTTGGACCAGGCTGTTGGCAGTGGGCATGAAGAGAAGTGGGGCCTTTGAGAGAGAGTTGGGTGGCCGCTTCATCAGGATTTATTGAAGAACTGCATGTGGTGGGAAGGGAGGGAGCCGGCAGAATGCACGTCTGGCTTTCTGGTTTTCAAAGCAGAAGGCAAATATAGGTACTACTTAGCAAGATGGAGACACGAGCAGAGGCAGGGTTGAAGGAGGACAGCATGTTGAGTTGGATGGACCTATGGGTGTGAGGAGCCTGCACAGCATGCAAATGCAGATGCTCGGTGGGGAGTTGGCTCTGGGCCTGGAATGCAGGAGAGAGGACTGGGCTTGGGAACAGAATTTGAGGCCACCAGAGTAAAACCAGTACTGGTACAGACAGAGCCCGGTGAGTATGATCATGGGCAGGTGGACCCTCTGAGCTTGTGAGGTTGAGGAGCACCTACTACCTTCAGGCAATGAAGACAAACCCTGCACCCAACAGGTGGGGGCCAGGGAAGAGGGGGTGTCTGGTGTAGAGGAAGAAACAGGACCATAGCTAGAATAGATGTGGGATCCAGAGAGTTTTTATTTGTTTGCTTTTCCCTTTGTTAACTGGGAAGGACTGGATTTGTGTACATTGAAAAGGGAAGTACCAGGAGGAAAACCAAGAACTGGTAAGGAAGAAGGGAGGGAACAGTGCACAGGCAAGGGGGTCCTCCTGGGCGGGGCATGAGCCCTCTATCCACATTAGCAGATAGGGCAAAAGTAGGGGACAGGTGAAGTGGGGTGGAGAGATGAGCAGAAAGCCATGCAGGAGAAGCCAGTCCACACAGGTGAAGAATGTGTATGGTGTGTGGAGTAACCAGGCCCCGGAGAAGCTTGGGGGTGGCGAGTGCAGAGTTCAGCAAGATTGGGCTCCCTTCTGACTGTGCTTCAGCAGAGGGCCACAAGAGGTGGTAGGAGGGGCCAGGGCTCCTGAAGGGAAGTCTGGAAAGGTGACAATAGGGTCAGGATGGTGAGGACTGGATCAAGAGCCTTAGAGTAAGAGGTGCAAACCCAGCCTCCGGGCCCAGATCCCATCCAGGCAAGCCAGAGTAGGAACCTGGTATGTGATAAGAGTTGTCACCTACCTTGTGGTGCAGGGCTCAGCTGTGCCATGAGGACAGGGACACTCTTCTCACCTCCTAGAAAGCCCAGCCTGGATGCCAGTTTATGTAGAAGTTTTGTTTTTTTTTAGTTAATTAATTAATGTGTGTGTGTGTGTGTGTGTGTCCAGCTCAGCCCACCAGGGGGCGGGGCTGGCTGGCATGTGGTGCTGGGGGATTGAACTGTGGTCCCTGTGCTTTGCTAAGCTTGTTCTAAGTAGGTGCTTTAGACCACTGAGCCATCTCACCAGCCCTTTTTTTTTTTTTTTTTTTTAATGTAGAAGTTTTGAAGTAAAATATTCTCGGAGATCCCTGGAATTGGCATCCCTGAGGGGCTGGGTCCTTGTTTGTCTCTGTGCAGTCAGCCTGAGCCCAGCATTCTAGGCGAGGTTCTGAGGGCCCCACATGCTTGTAGCGCAGTTGTGCTTAGAGCTGCAGGAACTTGTAGGGAAGGAACCCAGGGCAGAAAAACCAAGTACACTCAAACAGAGCCTATCCCAGCTGCAGAGATTTCCAGATCTCTTGGCTCTGTTGGGAAATGAAGGCCCACAGCAGCCTTGGGGCCAGCCCAGGTCAGGGCAGCCAGGTGCCAAGTGAGAAAACCGTGGAGGCACAATCCCCATTCCCAGTGCAGCGAGGTGGCCCAGTGGCAACTGCTGTGCCTCACAGAAGCTCCCTGTGAAAGTCTAGCTTCTCTGATGCCCACCCTTGTCCAAATAACATGGAAGATAGTTTTTCTAGGTATCCAACCAAAGTCTTCTTACTACAACCCAAGCCACTTTGTCTAGATGGGGAAGAATATAGTCATTGCCTAATAGGTCTTTGTTCTCTGGGAAGGGAGGGTAGGAACAAGAATTTCAGGGCTACCTGCTCAGGTGTGTCAATCTCAGAAGGATGGGCATCATGGGGTATTTTGAGGCCTGTCTGTGACCCAGAGCACTGAGGCCATCAGCCAATAGCCGAGAGGACCTCCTGCTTCCCCATTCATCCTCCCAATTAATTCTAACAAGGTGATTCTTCTTGCCATACGGGGATCATGTCTCACATCCCAGAAGCCAGTGGGATTTGCCTGAATAAGTCTGGACTTGCTTGGGCTGACCCAACCTTGCCAAAAGTCGCCAAGGCTGTCAAAAGAAGTAATCACTGAAACACTAATTGATTAATTAGGGTACTTGGAGATCAAGTCTAGGAACTGGTTCCAAGAATGGCTGGCCCATGGTGACTGGTGTGGCTTCTAGATGGTGGGGGAAGAACTTCAAGGCCCTCTTCAGTTCCTGAGCAGGAGCTTCTGTCTGTTCTTTTCAAATCAATGTTCCTGCCTATTAAAATGACACTGAGGGTCAAATTGCAAATAATAATAATAATAATAATAATAATAATAATAATAATAATAATAATAAATCATCTACCTTTACTAAGCATCTACTAGACCAGCATGCTGGGAACTCTGTAGGCCTCACTGTATTAAGTCCTCCTAATGTCCTTCAAGTCCAAAGTATTATTGAATATTAAGGGATATTAACTAGTCAATTGGATGTGTGTAATTGTGGCTTTGAAATAAGGAACCTTCTGGAAATAAGGAACTTTGGCACATGGGGGTACTTGAAGCCAAGGAGAGGGTGAGGTCACTGTGGGTGCAGGACATGCCATCAAGAGAGAAAAGGACAGCAACCTGTTCAGGACCCTTTTTATCCCTCAGGAGTTATTCCTTCTCCTAACCCTATTCCCCATCCACTTCCCCCAATAAACTTCCCTACTCTTAAAAAAGGAAAAGAGGAGAAATGAGCAACCAGACCCAGGGGGAGAACCCTGGGTGGAGAATATTCCTGGCAAGCAAGGACACAGGCATTTCAGTGTGAGTTACCACAGAGAGCATTTGTGGGTCCGATAAAACTTGCAGGCTGGGTGATGTAGCTGTACACCGCAGTCTAGGAGGCAAAATGGCAGTCAGTTTTCTGACTTTATTCAGAGAAGTGAGCTCAGGGATAGGTAAACATGGGAGATGAGCAAAAAATGTCCACTCATTGGTGTTCTGGGAAATGGGGGGTGGGAGCTTAGCAAAGAGAGATTGCCCATAGCCCAAGGTGGGAAGCGATGGCCTTCAGGGGTCCTTGAGTCCAGTGGGTAGGGGTGCCTAGCTCGCTTGCTATGGCAGGGAACTGGAGGGTCCAGTACATGGCATCAAGATACTTTGTTTAAAAATGAGGAAACTGAGGCTCATTAAGTTTGAATACCTTGCCTGAATTATATGCTGGTAATGGTGGAGCTGGCTTAGTACCCAGGTAGACAGATTCTACAATCCTCCTCAGCCTGTCTGCTCTTCATTATAAAAAAAAAGGCCTCCATGTATGGCCCAGATCCCTCACAGGATGCTTATCACACTTACTGATCCATGGGAACATTCCAGTGTCCTCCCCTAGGCCTTCTAGCCTTTGCAAGGAATCGGTGTCCATGTTCACAGGGACTTGCTGGAGTGTCCATCTTGGTTTTCTGAGAGCTGAGCAAGGGTTGGCAGAGTCTGGCACCCCAACAGATGAACCAGAAACTTGCTCATGACCTATGTGAGAACTGGGGATGGGGTCCGGCCTCCTTGCTGGGCTGAGTCCCATTGCCTGTGCAGGGAGCATGAAGTCTCCTCCAATGGGTTGGCCAAGGTTGGGCATGATCAGGCCTAGTCACATCCAGAGCCTGTTCCTGCCTGATGATCCCCTATACCGACTGAGAGAACTTTCCCTCCTTGTGACTGGTGTGGCTGCTTGACTTCTGGTCTCCGAGAGCCTCCATTCCAGTGGTGGAAGCAGAAACTCGAGGTCTCATGCAGTGGGGAAGACTGCTCATGTGCATGCTTGCCCTGGGGTCCACTTTAGATCAGGTAGGTAGTAGAGGCCTCCTTGGGTCACGATGGGACCTGATTTGTGATGGCCTTTCTGGTTGTGCCCTCTCTGGTGATTGGAGCTCTGAATTCCAGGCCTCTGTGGTTGCCTCTGCCCCTCCTCCCCATACCCATTCACACACACCCATGCCTCAGTTCCCTCAAGGAAGTCCAGAGTCCAGTCTGTGCATCATTGGAATTGGCTGCCACAAGAGACTGAATAGGGTGATGGCAAATGTCCCTCTAACTCTGACAGCTGGTGTTCCCTACCTGGAAGCACTTCCAGTCCTGTTTAATGAACCTCATGTCTCTTGGGAGCAAGCAGCAGTCCCTTGGCCGAGCCCCTTCTCTCCACCCTGCCTGTTTCTGCCTCTATCCTTCTTTGTGCCTCTTTTCCCTTCCTGATTC